AACGACAAAAACATGGCAAAGATCACCAGCTATGTCATGTTATTGATGGTAAGTACCCTTATTCTCAAATACTAACATTCACAAGTTCTTTGAGTATTGTTCATCTGTCCAACTGTGAACATTCACATCTGTGCCACTGATGTGAATATTCATATTCACTTCTGCTTTACTACTGTGAATGTTCACACATGTGCCACTGTTGTGAATGTTCACATTGAATTTTACAATGAATTCACAATTAGAGCTTAGATTATATATATATATATATTAGTTTTGATAAAACCTTAAGTCACATGCTATTAGAATTTTACAATGAATTCACAATTGTTACTAATTATGGATTTATGTTGTGTTACTTCTACTTTTAGGATTCAATTTATAATTGACGAATTGCAGGTTTATAGAAACTTCTGTATTAGGGATATAATAAACTACATCATGTTTCATGTTCACAAATTTGTTTATTGACAAGTATAATTTAGTGTACACGTATGAAATGTAGAGTATCTTGTAGTTAACCTTTGATGATCATTAGAAGGTAAACTGTTTAATTTGAAAGTATTGGTGATATATGTCAGTCTTAGCTTATAGAAAGAATGTAAGGATTGTGAGTGATGACAATTGAAGTTTCATTGGATTCCTGGAGATTGTAGGAAGTCAAATAAACTAACCAAAAAGTAGTTTTTGCTAACAAATGCCCTTAGAGATAAAAAATAAAAAATAGAAAAATAAAAAAATAAAAATAAAAGACAAAATAGGAGAAGAATACAAGGCACCAATATCAAGTTACTTTTCACCAATTTCACGACACATTTTAACCATTTCACATATTTTCCAGACACTTGTCACCCTAATCTTGATGTAAACCAGTGCCCTCGGAGCACTGTTTAGCATTTACCGAAGAAGTATCTGAACCAAATCCCTAGAGGAAGATTGAAATCCGAGATCAATATTTCTCTTCCTCTTTCGGACATCCATACCACAACTATGCACATCACTGAACCTCTTGATGTAAAAAAAATCATTTGCTCTTTGTGCTCTAGAATGTATAGCCCACAAGCAACCTTTCTCCTCGTGTATCGCACACACCGCAGTAACCCTTGTTGTCTCATTCTTGACATACGTAAACTGAAACCCGCATTGGATTGCATACTTACATAAAACATCACAAAATTCTTGTGTACCTCCTACAAACTGTTGTCCCACATGCGTAATACCATTTGCCCAAGGGGCTGACAACAACAGCCTCTCTTTATGATGGCAAAATCTTCGGAGTGCATCAATTTCTTCCTCACTCCCCACATACAGCGACCCAGAGCTACTCGACTAATCAATATCACTTTTCAAATCAACGACAACCTCTACATAGTGTACCTCCATTGATTTGGCAAGCAATAAAATATTCTGAAATTCTTCGTCATTATCCAAATCACACCTATTCATTCTAGGTAGTCGACAGAACAATGAAACAGAACAAGCAGACAACTAGTCCCATTTTTCACACAAACACTCCACCAAACGCGAATAACACAATGCGCGAACCACATTTATTACAGTTGAACTGCAACCATATGTGCACACCAACATCATAAAGGTATCCATCTCCTATAAAAACGCAACAAAACAAAAGTCAACAGCCACATATCAATCATACGAACAACATACATACAATAATCCATATTATGTGAACATTCACATTATGCAAACTAAATGCCTATGTGTACAGATCTACTACTAAATCCATAATAAAAACTATCACCACTATCCTTCCACAACATAAAACATTTTACAAGTTCAAAATCACACCACCAGAATGAGGTCACAGTACACAACATGCATACAACCCTCCATAACTTCATATTAATAAGATATGAACATCCACATTAAGCAAGAATCAAAAACTCATCAAAAAAGCACTTGCATTACCACATACATCAAACCATAACATAAAATGAATGTACATTCATACACAACGTATGTGCCTATATGTAAATTTTACACTGCTAAATCCAAACTCAAAATATCACCATCATCATTACCAATGAGATGTGAAAATACACATTGTTCACTTAATCCAAATTACCTCCCCGTCACAGAGCCACACAAAATGCATATAAATAAATAAAAAAAAAAACAGGGCATCCAATCTACATACTTCAAGCACCATATCATCCAATCCATCACATAAATCAAACCATAAACTGAACATGCATTCAACACCAAAATGATACTAATCTTGATCATCGAATTCTGCACTCGTCCTCTACCTCGAAAATGACTTATTTGAACCAGTTATACTCCAAACAATGTCACAACCGAACATCGTTCGAACGAGCCACAACAACAATGAAACCCTACCACATCGAAGCCTTCAAACGAACCAGCAAAATTGAAATGCATCCAACCGAATTAGACTCAAAACGAAAAACGTGAATATAGCAAACTACCAAAACAAAATGAACAAAAAACAAGGAAACGTCTATATCTATTATGTGTATCAACAATATATATAAGGGCATAATAGTCCATTAAAAATAATAAAATGAGGCAAAGGATCTCATGGAATAAAAAGATAAATACATGGGACTAATCAGGCTATAATAATCTTTTGTGGACCTAATGGGTTACAACAACTCTAAAATGGATTTGTCAATAAAAATCTCAATAATATATTAAGGACAAGTTTATATAAAATATAAAACCAAAAAAATGTATGATAGAGACACCATTTGGATTGTGAAATGATAATTGCATAAGAACCTAACAAATACAACAAATGTTTTTTTAAATATACAAGGGCCATTTAGCTAATTAAAAATTTTCTTCTTAAAATGACAAATTATAAAATATATTAATGTAATGAATGAAATATAATGGTAGTATTAGGTAGATTACAACTACAATATGGCTAGAATGATCTAATTGTAAGAGATTTAAAAAAAAAAAAATCCTATTTCTAGTACTTACGGGAAATAATATAGTAACTCTCATCGAAGAAAGAGAGTAGCTACAGATTTTTTGTGATGGGTCGTATAGATCTCGTCTGGAGTAAATATTAGATTTCAAGGTTAACTTGTTACATGATGTGTGTGTGTGTGTGTGTGTTTTTTTTTTTTTTTAATCGGCAAAAGGAAAAATTTTACTGATGAAAATTATCTAAGAAGAAAATAATACATTAAAAAAAGTACGAAATGTATCAAAGCAGGGCAGATCGATCCTTATTACATGATGAGTTTATCTCAAACAAATTTTTAATAAGATAAACATAAAACGAATTCAAATAATTTGGTTGGTGTAGCAACGTTAAATAATTTGATAGTCAACCCCCTACGCTTTTACTCAAATCTCACTTTGATCTCTACACAAGTGTCAATATCTCTCTTCGTTACTTCATTTTTAAATCTTTAACAAAATCCAATCATGTGACAAAAATGTGAGTACGAAATGAACGTAAGAGAGGAAAATCATCCATATTTGCCACCAATACACTTTGTCCAGCGTGATAAGCATGTGAGAGTTATATAACACAATATGTATATATGTGTTCGTATGATAAAAATTGGGACGAAGAGATAACAAAATAGAGCTGTTAAAGTAATAAAAATGCAACAAAGAAATCATGAAGAAAGGAAGATGAATAGATCGAAGATTAGATTATTGTGAAAAATAGAGTTTCATGATTCTAATTTATGTAAAACCCTAATTCATCTTCTTAATCGTTCACAATCTGCTTTTTATTTTAGCCTAACACAGTCATAATTCAATGTAAATTTTGGAACAAAGTGTGAATTGGTGGAAAATGTAGATAATTTTCCTCTCTTATTTGATGTCGTAGTCACATTATTGTCACATGATTAGATTCTATTAAAAATTTAAACAATTGATTAACAAAAAGGGAACATTGATACTTGTGTACAAACCAAAGTGAGATTTGACTAAAAATACAAGGGATTGACTGTCACAATTTTATGTGTAGGGACCAAAGTGAGATTTGACCAAAAGTGTAAGGAGTTAACTGTCATGATTTTATGTATAAGAGTCAAAATGAAATTTAGTGCAAAATATAGGGGTGCAAAGTGTAATTTATCCTAGATTTTAATACAAAATTAATGAGATATTTTGAAGTGCATACATGTCATATACACCTTTTTAAGAAAATTATACGATAGTCGTGTGACAAATCGAAGTGGTGCTCTAATTTAATTTTTTATTGATTAAATAAGTAGAAACTAATATCTTACAAATATTTTGTGATAAATGGTGTGAAATAATGCTTCAAAATCACCAAATAAGCTCTTCCCCTTTAGAAGTCCATATTGTAATTTGCAACATTTTCCAAACTCAACAAAGAGGTCACCTTCAGTACCCAGTGTAACTCATTGTAAGATAAAAAAAACTATAATAAAAAAGTAGAAGTGAAAAGTAACTTTTTCCCAATTTTTATACAATCAGTTTTTTCTAACTTATTTAAATTATTTCTACCTATTAAATTATAAATAAAAATTGTAACAAGTAATTTGACGCAAACTTTTAAAATAAAAAAGTAATTTGACACAGACTTTTAAAATAAAAAAGTTATAAACAATTCGTATAAATTGCAGCAAAAAGCACTAAAGTCTACTCTCTAACATTAATTAACTCCACAAGACAAGACATCCTCTAAAGCACCAAAATTGAGCACTGTCAACCAGGAAGGAAGGCACAGCCAACCAGCCAGCCCCATTACAAAACCACCAAAGCAAACTCAAAGACACCTTTTTCCATAACTAAGACCTTCTCCAATCAGGTAATCAATCATCTTCCCAACCATCTATGTATCCATTTCCAGATCCCTTAGCTGTACTAGTGCTTTCAGTTTAAGAGGTAAGAAAATCAAGTGGCAATTAAAAGAAAATTAGTTTTTGATATATGGGTTTGTTTTTTTTGTTGTTATGTGTGAAACCACATTGCTATGCTTATATATTTGTATATCTGTCTTTGGGAACTATCCAAAAATACACATGTTTGCTGTGAAGAATATTATAGAGAGGCCAATCTCTCTTCTTCATGAAATTGGGAAATTTTGGAATGCATGGGACACCCAGATCTTTGTTCTGCTGAGTTTGTCTCTGCAGGGGTTTCTAGTCTTGAGTGCATCCTATAGAAAACGCGCCGCTAAGAAATGGGTAGTGACACTCATCTCTTTAGCTTATTTTTTGGTAGACTGGGTCACTCCTCATGGTCTTGGACTCATCTCTAATAGACAACAAATCACGACTGTTACTGCCAATCTTTATGCATTTTGGGCTCCCTTTCTATTCTTTCACCTCAGTGGCCCTGATAACATCTCATCTCTTTCCCACCGTGAATGAGGAGTCGACTAAGTAGTGGGTTCAGCTCGTCTCACAATTCATAGCAATTGTTTTTATTCTCCAACGATCTTCTCGGTCCAACGACACCGTCATAATTCTCCCAGCAACCCTGGTGTTTTATGCAGGATTATTGAAGTATGCAGAGCGTATTGTGACTCGGAAGTTTGCAAGACCAAATAAATGGGAGAATTCCTCAGTACCAACCACACAAAAAATCAAGCTAACCCTCGGCCCTGACTATGAAAAACTCTCAGGGGCTCCCTTGGCAATGAGAGAGACACACCTGCCCATGGAAGTACGGAGTTTCCAAATGCCTCCAAAGAAATTCAAGGCTTCTTCTGAATGTGATTATCATCTACCCAATGAGGAGGAGGGTGACAAGTCATTGCTGAAATTTGCTCATTTCTTCTTTAAAAACTTCAAGGGATTCATGGGAGGCACTAGTTTCAGCCCTGAGCAGCGCCAATTCACTCGTCATTTCTTTCTCAAAAGAAGTGTGCACGATGCTTTTAAAATATTAGAAATGGAGCTTAGCATCATACATGACGCTCTCCATGCCAAGGCTGTTGCAGCTCAAAGAGAGATTGGATCCATCCTCCGTGCGATCAGTGCCAGCTCAATCCTCGTAGCATCTCTCTTGTTCTTTCTACATGACAAGTGTGGGTTTTTAAAGGTTGATATCATCATCACCTATGTCTTAATCTTTGGGTCTATAGTCCTTGAAATCTTGTCCCTTTTAATTCTCTGCTTGTCAGACTGGTATCTAATTGCCTACAAGCAATATAATTGGGCAAAATGTATTGCTGCTGCTATTGTCAACCGGCACAGGTGGTCAGAATCTATCTCCAAATTCAATATCACAAGCTATAGTCTTCATAAAAATCCAACTGTACTAAATAGCAAATTACCCTGTGCTCTGGTATTTATCGAACTTCCATCGGCCTTCAGAATCATACAAACAACGACCTCTAATTCCACTCCCAAATCTGTATGGTATGAGATTTTTAAAGAGTTGAAAATGAAATCAGAAATAGTAGAAAATGTGGAAACTGCCACAAAGATATGTTCACAAAGAGGTGATTGGGCTCTCATGCAAAGCTGTTGCTACAGTCAATTCAAATGGAGCCTAGGAGAGATTGACTATGGGAAGAGCCTCGTGCTATTGCACATTGTGTTGGAGTGAGTCCAGCACACTCTTGCTTTACACCTCATGCCAACATATCACTCTTGCTGTGTTGGAGTGAGTCCAGCACATTCTTGCTTTACACCCCATGCCAACATATCACTTTTCCTTTACAACTCATACCAACAGATTGTAGACTTTAATATCGTATAGACTAAGTTTAGCTTCTTAAAATAGTTTTTTGGTATCTCTATATATTGTACTCTGTTTCATCAAATTAATATACAAGAAAAGAATTATGTTTGATATGGTATCAGAGCAAGATCTTGGGTTCCCTATTTTTTTATCAGACAGGGGTCCAGATTTTTCTCAACCTTCATGGCTGAATCCACTGAAACCATCCTTGATAATCTAACATCAAAAATGATGGAGGTTTTGTCAAAGGTTCAGACTTCTTCCTCTCCCATCACTTATTCCCCGATGGTTCCTATCAGCATCAAGTTGGATGGTTCCAACTATGGATTATGTTATTGAGATGTACATCTCAGGAAAAGACAAACTGGGATACATCAATAGAGGCAACCCCCAACCACCAGAAACCGATCCCTCCTTTCGTAAATGGCGCACTGAGAATGCCATGGTGAAAAGCTGGTTGATCAACTCCATGGACCATTCCTTGGTCGTGAACTTTATTCGCTACCCAACGGCTAAGCAGGTATGGGATTCTGCTGCCACAACCTACTTCGATGGCACTGACACCTAGCAGGCATACGAGCTCAGACGTCGTGTATCTTGAATGAAACAAGCAGGTGAATCTATAGAAAAATACTATAACGATCTACAGGGCCTGTGGCGAGAAATCGATTTTCGTCGACCGAATCCAATGAAATGTGCAATTGACATACAAAACTACAACTCCAGTTTACAGGAGGAGCGAGTCTACACTTTTCTTGACGGACTAGATGATCGATTGGAACATGTTTGGAGCGATGTTCTTCGCCTAAAACCTTTTCCTTCAATTGAGAAGGCATATGCTTACATTCGAAGGGAAGATCTCCGGCAATCTGTGATGACATCAGGAGCAGAAGCAGTGCCTAGTGGTGCTGTTATGACCACCAAAGGCGTGAAATCTGGCCAGTCACAAACTGTGCTCAAGTCTGGGTCCTCCTCACGTTTCAAAGGTCATTCTGATGGGAATAAGTGCACTCACCGTGGGAGTACAAAACATACTCGAGAAATTTGTTTCAAATTACATGGCTACCCAGACTGGTGGCACGATTTACAAGCCCGAAAGAAACGAGATGCTCCTGCCACTGCGGACGTCCTAGGTCGAGCAGCAGTGGTCACGGCTGAATCTCAATTTTCCCTTATTCCCATGGCTGCATCTTCTACCTCAACCCCAGATCCAGGTAATTATGGTCAAGTTTTCTGCAGCTTTACTACTCGGAATGATGATGCTTGGATTATCGACTCCGGAGCGACGGATCATATGACATTTGATCCAAATGACTTCTCCAACATAACTCAGCCACGGAGGACTTGCATTGCCAATGCCAATGGTGCAACTTACCCAGTCACAGGGGCTGGAACCATGCCCTTGTCTCCCTCTCTCTCTCTAGCTCACACACTTCTTGTTCCATCTCTTTCTAACAAGTTGATGTCTGTGAGTCAAGTTACTGAAGAGCTTAATTGTGTTGTCCTGATATACTCTAATTTTTTGTCTTCTCAGGATGTTCTCAGCAAGGAGATTATTGGGCATGGTACTAAGACGGGGGGACTGTACTACCTTGATGACTTCAGCCCAGGCAGAGCCAATCACACTCACCATCCAACCAATAGCCATGAACGATAGATTTGGCTATGGCATAGGCGTTTGGGGCACCCATCCTTTGGCTATCTCCGGCATCTACTTCCATCTTTATTTTCTCGTCTGCAGCATGTCAACTTTAAATGTGATACATGTATCAAGGCTAAAAGCCACCGAGTTTATTATCCAGTTAGCTTGAATAAAACGAATACTCCATTTGCATTGATACACTCTGATGTGTGGGGACCATCTCCGATCACTACTTCCTCTGGTCATCGTTGGTTTGTAATTTTTGCCGACGATTGTACTCGGATGACATGGCTCTATCAGCTTAAAACCAAAGACGAAGTTTTCACCATTTTTCAAGCATTTCATGCCATGGTTCAGACTCAATTCTCTTCCAAGATCCAAATACTTCGTTCCCATAATGGTGGTGAATTCATCAACCACCAACTTCAGGCCTATTTCCAACACCATGGCCTCCTCCATGAGACCTCATGCTCTCAAACACCACAACAAAATGGTGTCGCCGAGAGGAAAAATCGGCATATTTTGGAAACAGCTCGTGCCCTTCTCCTTGGCGCAATGGTGCCGAGTTACCATTGGGGGGCTGCGGTGGCTACTGTCGTGTACATAATCAACCGTATGCCATCTAAAATTTTACACTTTAAAACCCCCTTACACATTCTCTCTACTTATATATCCCTTCCTTCAATATTGATGCTTCCTCCTAGAATTTTCGGGTGTGTTGCTTTTGTCCACCTCCACAAAAATCAACGTACCAAATTGGACCCCTGTGCCGTTCGGTGCTTATTTTTGGGATATGATTTCCATCAAAAAGGCTTTCGGTGCTATGATCCCACTACCTGCCGCACCTATATCACCATGGACGTTACATTTCTTGAGTTCGAGAATTTCTATCATTCCCCGGTATCCACTTCTTCCCTTTAGGGGGAGCCTCACGTAGAAGAGACGAATTGGTTGATGGCCCCCGTAGGTAAGCATGGGACTGGAAATAGAGAGGTTGAACCACATGCGGTACCACCAGAAATTGACTATGTCGAGTTGTGACGTGAAGAACCTGGAAATAAAGAAGCTGAAGAACCAGGAAATACAGAGTACCCTCGGTCCCCTCACTTCTCAGTACTTGAAGACCCTCCTCCTCTTGAGAATGTCCCTAAGGTAAGTACTCCTATTGCACCTTTACATGCTAATATCTTGGATTCCTCTACTGGTTATGTGTTGCCTTTTAGACATAATCGTGGGAAACCACCAAACAGATACAGCCCAGATGAAGAGGAAAGAAAGTCCAAGTACCCAATTACCAATTATGTATCTACTCAAGGTCTGTCCAAGCCGCTCAAGACTTTCACTCAAACACTATCCTCCTGCCATATTCCCAGTAGTGCTGAGGAGGCGTTATCTGATCCACAGTGGGCGCAAGCAATGCAAGAAGAACTAGAAGCCTTAAAGAAAAATAATACCTGGAAGTTGGTCCCATTACCGGAAGGAAAAAAATTAGTGGGATGCAAATGGGTGTTCTCTATAAAATACAAGGCTGATGGATCAATTGACCGATACAAGGCGAGACTTGTGGCAAAGGGTTTTACTCAAACGTATGGCATAGACTACTCAGAAACCTTCTCACCAGTAGCTAAACTAAATACTATTAGAGTCTTGCTATCTCTTGCAGCAAATTTGGACTGGCCACTACATCAACTCAACGTGACGAATGCTTTCCTTCACGAAAACCTTGACGAGGAGGTATACATGGATATTCCGTAAGGATACAAAAGTTCGACTGGAACCAAAATTGTGTGTAAATTGGAGAGGGCTTTATATGGACTAAAACAGTCACCGCGAGCATGGTTTGGCCGATTTAGTTCAGCTATGAGGAAGTATGGCTATTGCCAAAGTAACTCTGACCATACTCTCTTCCTAAAACATCGACAAAGCAAGGTGACAGCATTAATAGTCTATGTGGATGATATGATAATTACTAGGGATGACACCGATGAGATCTCGAGGCTACAAGAACAATTGTCTACTGAATTTGAAATGAAGAACTTGGGAGGGCTGAAGTATTTTCTGGGCATAGAGGTGGCGAGGTCAAGAAAAGGCATATTTCTCTCTCAACGGAAATATGTACTAGACTTATTGACGGAAGTGGGATTACTAGAGTGTAAACCTGTGGATACGCCGATTGTGCAGAACCATAGGCATGGAGAATATTCGAATCAAGTGCCTGCTGATAAGGTGAGGTATCAAAGACTAGTGGGAAAACTTATTTACTTATCTCACACTCGTCTAGACATTGCTTACGTTGTAGGTGTGGTAAGCCAATTTATGCATAATCCGAGTGAAGATCATATGGGTGTCGTAGTTAGAATTCTCCGCTATCTAAAGTCATCACCAGGAAAAGGACTAATGTTCTCCAAGAACGTTCATCTGAATATTGAATGATACACGGATGCAGACTGGGCTGGAAATATCTTGGATAGAAAGTCTACTTCAAGCTACTTCACATTTGTGGGAGGAAACTTGGTTACATGGAGGAGTAAAAAGCAGAATGTAGTGGCATTGTCCAGCGCTGAAGCTGAATTCCGAGGCATGGCAAAAGGATTATGTGAGCTTCTTTGGCTTAGAAGTTTGCTAACAGAGGTCGGTTTTCCTCCTAATTCTGCAATGAATTTATTCTGTGATAACAAAGCTACCATCAACATATCTCGCAACCCAATTCAACATGACCGGACTAAGCACGTGGAGGTAGACCGACATTTCATCAAACAGAACCTGGAAGAGCAGATTATTCAGTTCCCTTTCGTTAAATCTGAAGATCAGCTGGTTGACATTCTTACCAAAGCAATTTCCAGTAGAAACTTCAATGACTCACTTGACAAGTTAGGTGTTAAAGACATCTACACACCAACTTGAGGGGGAGTGTTGGAGTGAGTCCAGCACACTCTTGCTTTACACCTCATGCCAACATATCACTCTTGCCGTGTTGGAGTGAGTCCAACACATTCTTGCTTTACACCCCATGCCAACATATCACTTTTCCTTTACAACTCATACCAACAGATTTTAGCCTTTAATATTGTATAGACTAAGATTAGCTTCTTAAAATAGTTTTTTGGTATCTCTATATATTGTACTCTGTTTCATCAAATTAATATACAAGAAAAGAATTATGTTTGATACATTGCTACTGATCTCTGTTTTTACAAGTGCAGATCATCCCCTGATTATAATGACTGTAGTGAATTCTGTAAGACTATTTCAGACTACATGTCATATCTTCTTGTGATGAAGCCTACAATGATGATTCCGGTGGCTGGTTATTGGCCACAAACAACTCAAGACACCACTGTAGAAGCTAACAAATTACTTATCAAGAGATCAATAAGGGACCACGAGGAAGCCTGCAAAGCGATCTTTTCTGTGGATACTGAATGTGAACCCGCTGTCCTGAAAGGGGATGCAAGCAAATCTGTGTTGTTCAATGCGTGTAGGCTTGCAAAGCAACTAATGGAGAAAAAAGAGCCATGGAAGCTGATGAGAAAAGTGTGGATTGAACTGTGAGGCTATGATGCAGTAAATTGTGAAGCAAATGTTCATGCACAACAGCTAAGTCAAGGTGGAGAACTTCTTATGTTTGTTTGGTTAATGATGAATCACTTGGGTTTGGGTATGCAATTTCATGATGAGCCTGCACGGAGTCGATACAAGGTGGTTGTAAAAAAGTAGGGGTAAGTTTGAGTTTTGTGTGTGTGTTTTCTTTTTGTTGTTTGAAAATGTCTGGGGCAATTAGTTTAAAACTAGGAAAGCAAATGCTGAATCCTTGATAGATATCAAAGAGTAAGCATGTAATTGTCTACAAAGCTGCTTGTGTTCGTGTTCTTGGCTCCAATAGTTCTCTCATTGTAGCATGTTATGTCGCAGCTGCATTGTAGCTCTATGGTTATTATTCTTTCCAAAGCTGCATCTGTAGTTCTCTCATTGTAATTCTCTAAGCAACTTTTTATCCAAGGAGGAAAGATATAAACACTTGCACTATGTTTGAATCATGAATTTGGATAATGATTTGGAAAGGAAAAAGAAAAGGAAAAGGAAAAGGAAAATGAAGAAAAAATTTAATTTATATTTTATTCACCATTGCCTCACCTATTCCCTTTCCTTTTTTCAAATCCCTATCCAAACACAGCGTTGAGGTTCATTCGTTATCTCTTCGCTTTTACACTTCAGGGATTAAATTGACACAATCTAAACACTGGACACCAAAACATACAAATCTCTTACTTTAGAATTGGAAAGAGTAATTTTTTAATTGAATTTTCATATTTACCCCTAACTTGGATACTTATTTAAAGGTCAAATAATTTAATGCGAGAGATCCTAGATATTACTCGTAAATTTATTCGCACTGACACAATACTATTGCTAACTGATTTACACTATTTATATAGACATAGTAGAGGTTGTTTTTAGTGAATAAATTTCTAAATAAATCAATTAATCTACTATATTCTGCATCATTAATGATAAATTTAAAGGTAGATATTTTTGGAGTTTAACCATTTTGCTTTAACCTCACGTAAATGTCCCTATTTTTTGTTGTTCCTGAATTGGAACTTCCTTCCATTCATTGGAGCTATTGTAGTGGTTTTGCCAACATAATCTTCTTGACTACTCAAATATGGAGTGGAGGAAGTATATGAAATCAAGAAAGGGAAATGAAATCAAGAAAGGGAAAAATCTTGCCTTCAGTTTGAGAAGCAAAATGAGAAATTGCTATGAAAAGCCTTTCGACGATTGATTTTTGTGTTTATAAACTTTTTAATTGGAAACAGGATCCTAGACCTAGGTTGTATAACCTTATTTTGTGGTATAAAATTACGAATTCAATTCTGATAGAAAAAAGTTTAAAATCGCGGAGTTTATTTTTCTCCTATTATAGAGGTTTGTATATAACTAATGGTGGTTGTTGATCATAGACTTGATAATTATTGATTTTTTAATTATTTTTGGGCTAGTAATTAATGTATTTGATATAATATTACTCATATTTGTAATTATTTTCCAACTAATGAAAAAAAAATAAAAAGAATTCTTTGAAATAAAAGAACACACTTAATGCATGCTTGACAACTAGCCCAAAAAAATACAATTAAACAACAAAACAAAGAAATGGCAATAAAGGATGCCCAAAAAGACAGACTAGTTCACCCATATTCGTTAGGATCAGAGGTTGACGTTGAAATCAATGGAATGCCTATGATCCTTATGTTGTAATCTAATTTCCTAACTCCGTTGCTGGACTTGTTGGCTGCTTCAGTTCTTGATTATTCTCAACTTTGCTGCTGGCTCTGAGGAATCACTGTTCTTTCATGAAGATTTTCACTAGCAATCTTCCCCATCATTTTTGCAAGCAATGGAAGCCCATAACACTTCTCTATAATCTTCACTTTCAGATTTTCCAAACCTATAGACAACTTTATGTCACCTTCCTCAGCCGAGTCCTTGAATATCTTCCAGCAGCTTTCTGGATCCAAAATCAGCAGAAGCCTATGCAACTTGTCTTCCCCAACTATTTTCTTCGCCAATTCCTCCGCCCTGCTCGTCACGATCACCGTTCCTCCGCACCCTTTTGGCAACCCGTAAGCGAGCTTTTTGCAGCAATTCTCGTCCCGGTCTAATAGAGAATAGAATTCCATGTCGTGGTCATCTTTGCACCAGACATCGTCGAGTATGATTAGATATCTTTTACCAAGTAATTGCAGGCGAAGAGCGAAGAGCGGGCCTTCGAGGCCGTGATTGTTGTCGGCTGATTTGATGACCGATTCTTCGACTCCGAGACATTCCAACATTCTCTTCACTGTCTCCTTCTTATTGTCCAGATCATCTTTGGGTTGTTTCGAACATACCCAGATTCTGGGAAGAAAATGGTTCTTCACTTCTTGCTTCTTGAAAATCACTTGACAGAGTGTTGTTTTTCCGATCCCTCTCATCCCAACAATCCCAATTGCTCTGAACCCAGAATCATCGTTGTTTGGGACAAGCAATCTCTGCAGAGACCTGACTTTATCATCAAGTCCATGAACCTTGGTTTCATCAACAGATCGATCGCTCCACCGAAAAGCCTCTGTTTCGGTATCCTGTGAGATGGACTCATGGGTCGATTGTTGAGAAATTTCAACATTTGATGAACCCATATTGGTGTTTCCATCAACAGGCCCTTGAGTTTCCCTTTGTTGTACCCGATTCGAAGCCACGCCATTGTCTTTGTCTTTGTCTTTGTCTTGACGGTTGATCCGATCTAAGTTGGAAGCAAACTTCAAAATAGAAATTACATTATGTGACTGCATGTGCCACTCGGTTAAGAGATTGTTGAGGTTGTAGAGCTTTTCCCGGCTGAGTTTGGCGACCGTTGAAGGCGGTGGTGGTGCGGTGGTGGTGGGTTGGAGCGATTCCTTCAATTTCTGAAACTTGGTAGAGAGGCCAACTATTTTTGCTAGGAAAGGGAGTTTGGCTGAGGCTGCTTCTTCGATAGTATCGTTTAGTCTGGCCTCTAGATTCTTCTCAATCTCGTCACCCATTTCAACAATCACTAAGATCTTAATGTCTCTCTCTTTGAAGGTTGTGAAAGAGAAATTAGGTGGGTTTTTGGGGTCGTCTTCTTAAAAATCAGTGTTTGGTCTGCAATGGTTGGATGGATGGTGTAGCTGCGCAAGGATCCCCTGCAGGGATCTTCTAAAGTGTAAAATAAAACTAACCAAAACGACATCGTTTTGGTGAGTAGTTTGAGAAAAAAAAAGAGAAAAAAAAAAAAATTCAGATTCAGGATTTCAAAACATCGAAGGTTCTGGAAATGCAAATCTGAACTTAGAGAGAGATAGTATTTCCAAATCTTTCAACAAAATTCACAGTTTGGCGAAACCTAAACTACTATGAGGAGTTGACCAAATTCACTTCACCAAACGCAAAACATTTCCATTCTCAACGTGCTAAAACACAGAATCAAACTTTTACATCATATACAAAATCAAACTTGCTAAATACACAGTCAAAAACACAAATTTACACAAAATCGAGAGCTAATTCAGAGAATACCAAAACTCAATTCACTCAAAACACCGAGAAGACGATCGAAACCGTGAAATCGAAAATAGGTAAAGAGATCGGAAATGCGATCGATTAGAACAAAACAAAAACAAAAACAAAAAAATATTGAAGATAAAATGCTTACCAGAGAATCAACGCAGAGCTGATTCGAAGTTTTTCTTCGTCTTCTCAGAAAGAGAAAAAAGAAAGTGATATTTATTTGGCTTAGCTGTTGCCAATGACGACTTCGAAGATGCTTTTTCTCTCTCTCTTTCGTGTGTATCAAAAACATACAATTACAAATATCTACACATTATCTCTATCAAATGCATATCGTGTGTTTGGATGAATTGGACCGATTGGAACGATGATGGAGAGAGTATGTTAATATCCACACACTATCTCTCTCTCTCTCTCTCTCTCTCTCTCTCTCTCTCTAATTTCAGATTTGTAAGTCCAGGAACCTTCGATGTTATGAAATCCCTGATCTGGAATTTTTTTTTTTCTTTCTGTTTTTCTCAAACTACTCACTAAAACGATGTCCTTCTGGTTAGTTTTATTTTCAATCATCGGATTAACCACTTGAGGAGATCATTTAGGAGATCACTGCAGGGAATTAACTCTAGAGGATCTTTGCACTCATATCCGGAGGAGGCAGCTTGCTGGGTATGGTATTCTAGTTAGAATAATATTTGAGGGTCACAATTTTTGTAGTTCAAATGGCTTAAAATTGTCAAAATGATATCGTTTTGGCATGTTTTATGCTCAAAACGACGTCGTTTTGACAGTTTTGAGCCATTTGAGCCATAAAAATTGTGACCCTCTACCATTGCCCTTCTGGTTATTATTGCGAAGACCTAACCCTCCATTTGGATGGTGAGATGAAATGAGCAAATAATCAGTGTGTTTGATTTGAGTTTTTTGGATTAAATTTTTTAGAAATTGAGTTTTTTTGTTTTTAGTAAATATTTTTTGCATTTAAATTTTTTTTTTTTTTTTTACTTTTTATATATATTATGTAACTAATAGAAATTGATATGTAACTTGCAGATAGCATCTCAAATATTGTGAAATTTTAAAATTACTTTTTTTTTTATTATAAATATTATCCTTCTTTTGTTCTATCTACAACATCAATTATATTGTAGGCAGTTGATGCTATCGTGGCTAGGAAAAAGAAGGAAAATGAGAAAGGAAACAAAGGAAAGAAAAAGAAAAAAAGAAAGAGAGGTTATTTAGAAGCATTTCACAATACTTCATATGTAAGACATGTGGTAATTTTCCATAATGGATCATTAACTGAAAATAAGAAAGTAGAATTTTTTGAAAAGTGTTTTTGAAAAATGATAACCAAGCATAGGGGATCGGTGAGATAAAAATTATATTTGAATGAATAAGAAAAAAAAGAACACTATATATTTTTATTTATTTTGTTTGAATATAATAAATAAGAGAAGAAAATATATTTTTTTATTTTATTTTATCTTATCTAAATAACATTCCATGTTAATAAGATATGTTTTTTCATAAAAATAATTTTAATATTTTAGAAAACTTTTATTAAATTAATTCTTTTCTTACTAAATTTTATCACTTTAGGGAGGAAGAAAATATAGGATTTGTGAGTATTTTTTTCTCACCATCTCTTATATTTTTTATCTACTTAATTATCCAAATAAATAAATAAATAAAATCTATTTTCACCATTTTTTTTTTCTTTTTCTCATCAAATCCGTCAAATCCGTCCATCCAAACGGGGTGTAAATGTGGTTGACTTGTGTTTACTGAAGCCTTCTTTCTGCTCCAATAATTTGTCCGTTGTCAATGAGGGAACATTATAAAAATTAGTAAACATCTCAAAAAATTCTTTTCTTCATAGGAAATTTAATTTTTTTTAATAATATAATTATTACACTTTAAAAAAATTAATTTTTTAAAATTATTCTTTGATTGCACATTTTTTTTTTGAAGAATATCAATTATCATAATTATACTATTGGTAATGAATTTAAAAGAAGGAAAAAATAAAAAATTCATATTATTTTAGTCATTAATTTTTGAAAATAGACTAATATTTTAGGATAATAAAAAATAAAATAAGAGATTAATATTTTGAGGTGGAGGGAGTAGTATTTAGGTTAGGCTATGTTTGGCATAAAAAAAAATTTAGCTATTTTAACCACAAAAAACAAAATAAGCTAAAAAGCTAATAATACAAAATGTCACATCCACACCATAATCATTTTATTTTTTCTTTCACAAAACTCAAAAAGTTCATTCTAAACAAAACTTTTTAGCCCAAATTAAAATAACTAAAAGGCTAAAAAATTAACCCATATTCCAAACGAAGGCTTATAGAGGTGTTGCTCAAAATTATATAATGGTGTTAGATATGGAGACCATTTTAAATTGTCGCAATTTAAATGTTAAGAACATAACAAAATACATATAATTTAGAGACGATAGAACCAAAAGTGATCTAAGGATCCGTTTGTTTTCAGAGGTAGAATAGAAGAGATTGACAGTGAGAAAATTAAGTAAAATTATGTTTGTTTTGATAATAATTGTTAGTGTGGGTATTGTTAGATTATTACCCCTATAAAAGAAATATAAAATATTAAAACAAATAAAATTATGATTTTTACTTTTCAAAAAAAAATACAAAACATTAGACGTTAACATTCAAAAAAAAAGGGCAAATTACAAACACCCCCTCGAGATTTGGTAAAAATACAGATTTCCTCCTGAGGTTTGAGAAATTACAAATTGCTCCCTGAGGGTCAAATTTTCATAACAAATTAGGGAAAATTAGGGAAGAATCTGTATGAAAATAAAAACCTCAGGGGCAATTTGTTATGAAAATATAAATCTTAGGGGGGCGGGATGTAATTTCTCAAACCTCAGGGGGAATCTGTATTTTCAACAAATCTCGAGGGGAGTGTTTGTAATTTGTCCAAAAAAAATGCTCAATATGTAAAAATAAATAAATAAATAAAAATAAAAAATACTAAGCCGGAAGACTAACTTCTAATACCAACCCTCCCAACTCCATCACAATTCCTCTTCATGGCCCATCCTAATCTGGAGGCCCACCTCAATCCCTTTCTATAAGTTCCACCTCCATCTCAATCCTAATCCCACATCCACCTCTCAAAACAAATGAATCCTAAGAATAATAGGCATATGGAGCATAAGAATGCTTTTCTAAAAGGATCGAGGAAAGGTTATCCTTCATTCAAAAAAAAAAAAAGAAAAAAAAACAAGACTCTCTACTTTATCTAGCCATTCAAACTAACATAACCCATTTTCAAAATAAAAAATGCTATATACACAAAATACAAAGAATTCGATAATCAACTAACACAACACAACACAACACAACCCAAAAATTCATAAGGTAACCAGTTCCAATTGAAGATACCCAAACTTTTAAAATGCAATTCACGGTGAGATAAAAAATAAAAAATAAAAAATAAAAAATAAAAAAAAAGTTAGCTTTTTAATTTTTTTACCTTTTTTATATGGTAAAATGTCACAAAAAAAGTCACAAAAAAAATAGTTTTTTTAGCAAAAAAGTTAACTTTTTTAACCAAAAAAAAAAAATTAACTTTTTACTAACTTTCTAAAACACCACAAAATATAACGATTTATGTGGTTGATCTTAAAATTAAGACAACTTCCACAATACAATTTTTCACTATTATACAATTATAACATACAATCATTATAAGCATAACTCACATTTTAATTAATTTTAAATTATATCATAAACATCACTTTAAGATAAGATAATAAAGCAAACTATTCAATACTTCCGGACCATCACGTCCCCATACTTCATGCCAATCACCAATTAGTTAGCCTCATGTTGTTCTCCCTTTCCCAACATAAATGTGGGCCCTTGCGTCTCTCCACCAATCAAAACATTATGGAGTACCACGTGTCCATACTCCGAAAATACTGAATAATCACCCAATAAATAGATGGCAGATAGATAGCTACACAGTTATCCAATTAGCCTCCACTTTCTTTTACTTTTCTTCTTTCTTTCAACTACTAACTATTTATATGATTTATGAAATATTACACACAGACACACAGACACACACACACAAAAATCTCAAATTTGATTATTATAATAAAATAAAGGGAGCTTTTTTCATAAATTCATCTTTAATTACTTATGTTCCAATTAGTCCAAAATTTATTTTAATATTCTACTTAGTCCTGTCCTAGGTAAAAAGACGATATTACGCTTATGTTCATATTAGATCATAGGCGCCTTTTTTCTTTCAACTCTACAATTTTGTTTTTCCCCAAATTAGAACCCTAACGTTGAACTCATTCTTGTTCGACCAAAACCTTACGATTGGCGAGTCTTGTTCATTCCAGCAACAAAAATCACGAAGTGTTGTTCATTCCGGCATCATTGGTTGTCAAGAACAATCCACTTCGGCAACCAAGATCGCCGATAACTGTTCATTCCGGCAACTGC